TTTTTTTTTTTTTTTTTTTTTTTTTCATGAGAGGCAAGAGCACTTTTGCTGTTTTCCGTTCCACTGGCTTGAAAATGAAATTAACTGGGGGCAATGTTAAGAAGTCTGTACCGTCTGTATCGTAAAAGCAGCTATTTGTGGAAAAAGAGACTGACTGATGTTGCGTTGACACTTTAAAAGCCATGCTGTTTGATGGGAACTTTAAGGAAGCAACTTTTGGTCAGTTTGAGACTGCGCTGGATGAGAACCACGAGGAAAGAACTGCACAGGACAATTCCAGACCGTGGCTTCTCTCATTCTTCAACAACATTTTGAAACATTCTTATATATTTGACAATTCTAGTTTAAAATCTAATTCAACAGTTTACAGTGGTCCAAACTTACAACAACAACTAGCATGCTAATGTTGCATTCCAGTCACCTCAGAACTCAGATCTCGTGACGACGTCATCTCAAATGGAACAGTACACAGCATCTAAAGCCAAAAGTACTATGAATGTTTAACATTTTTACCAAACACTGGGGGCAGTTATGTTGAATTTTGTAACTCAGGCTCTGAAATGTTCTCCAACTTTCTGAGCAGAGAGATTGTGGGGCGTTGCAGTTGTCATGGTTACATTTCAGAATGCGGAAAATCCGACCTCAAAGGACAACTGGAATGCACTTCAGATTAGATGAAGTAACAGAAGTAACAGTACTCTTACTTGAGTAAAAGTTGTGGTCACTCAAAAAGCTTTATGTGACAATATGAAATTATTTGAACTTTATATTTTTTAGGTATACATTATTGGAAATTTCTGTTTCTTCCATCACTTCTTTAATTATAATTTTGTATCTATCCTTTGAAAATATAAAAACTTTTGCATAATTTATATTTTGTCCTTCAAATTTCATTAACTCAAGATACTCTTTAAGTTACTCTTACTTGAGTAGTAGTTTTACCAAATACTTTTTTACTTTTTGGGCAGAGAGATCATGGGACATCCTGATTCATCAGCCGGTTTCATTTCGTAGAACCCGTCTGACCTCACAGTGTTAGAATTAGTTTGTTTGACAGTAGGCAGGTACTTTTTTTCATTTAATCAATGTCTGCTATTTGGTCGTGACGTATGTAATGCACCGCTATCGGGGCTAACTTGTATATCAAGCTTTCCCAAATCCCGTAGGAAGAAGGGCAATAACGTCTTTCACCTTGATAAAATTCACCAAACATTCTCTTTGTTCTGGCTTTAAATCTTCGATCTCGGGAATCGTTGCCAACACAGAATATATGGCTCTTCGCTGATTGGCTGGTGCCCGAACTCGCACTTCCGGGGTTCTTGGAAACCGTCTAGTGTATTTTGATTCCTGACCTAGTTGCTGGAGAGAAATGAAATTGAGCGGAGGCACAAGGTGGCACCAGCCTGGCTACTTTAATGGCCCCTGTTTCACAAAAATCCTAGAACTGCCACTGGGGGCATTGCAGTTGTCATGGTTACAAGTCAGAAAGCAGAAAATCTGACTGTAAAAAAACAACAACGCATTTTAGAACACAGCAGTCTCATTTTGACTCTAAGAGCTGCTTTTAGAATATATCTGTACTGAGGCGAGACAAATTTGACTTTAAAACTAATAGTGCATATGCCACGTGGGTGTTAACATTGCACATTTGTTTAAAGCTTGTCCGTGAGGCTTTGTTAATATCCTGCGGACCAAACAATATTGGCATTTTTCTTTTCTTCAGATTTCTTTCTATCTTCTCTGTAATTATCATGTTATGAGCACAATTATCTCAAGATGTTTTTTCACAATTATAGAACAGACCCTGTGCTTTGTGCGTGTTGCCAGACAGCTCTCACCGCTGAGGGAGCCAGCGGCCAAATAAACAACGCAATATTCTCTTTGAAAGCCTCTGTGTATTTACCAACAGCGAGTTACACTGTATGTTTTCTCCATCTTCTGTTTACCTGTTTGAACTATTTTCTTTTCTTTTAATATTTTTTTAAACCAAATTTTAGTGTTTACTTCAAAACTTTTATTTAACGATTATTAACTCAAAAACATTAAAAAGGCCCATATTGCACTGTTTTCTGATCTATGTTATAATGTTTCTTCATCACAAACAGACCTGGAGTTGTCTTTTTTATTTCATTCACACGTTTAACACACAAACCCTGCATATTTAGGCTTCTTCTCTCAAACACCGTATGACACCTTGTGATGTCATACACAGGGTAGCTGCAGGGTCTTCAAAGTCTTAAAAATGTCTTAAATTTCATGTTCCTAAATTAAGGCCATAAAAAGTCTTAAATTATGTTGTCCAAGTCTTATTTCTTTCACAAAGGTCTTAAATTTCATTAAACTATTTTTTTGTAAACTCAACCGGGCTGCAGTGCAATGTTAAATGGACGGAGAAAAAAAACAACAAAAACAACGCAAATCACGTAACATGAAAGAACGTCTAATTTGGAGCATGTGTAAACAATACTTTGTTTTCTGGCTCCGGCGGCAATAGGTAAACAATCAGTAGAGTGGAGGAAGACGCTGGATGGATCATGGGGAAGTACAGGTTTAATCCACAGTGGCTCTTAGATTCTAGATATTGTAGTTGGTTGGTCATTATTAGAATTGGATCTGATGTTTTTCACGCACATAATGGGTGCGATGTTGGTCTTAATTTTCATTTAAGTGGTCTTAAAAAGGTCTTAAAGTCTTAAACCTGGGGATACCATGCATACAGGAAGTGCTGCACTGTGTTTTAAAACTCCATACACATTCCCTGGAATCATTTGGATCATTTCAGCCCAAGAATTGCCAATCTCTACTGAACTAAAAGTAAAAAGTAGCTTTTAACTTGAAAACTACAATTTCATGACATCACAAGGTGGAACAGAGCGTTTTGAGTTTTGGAGAGTTGGATAGACTAATAATAAAGGGTTACTTAAACATGTGTGAATGAAATAAAATAACTTCAGGTATGTTTTTGACGAGGTGACAATATTAAAACTTGTGTTAGGTTCAGACTACAGCCTGAAGTCACCCAAATCAGATTTTTTGGCCACTGTGCTTCCTGTGTCTGATCGTTTAATGACACTCTGAACGACACAGATCAGTTTTTTTTTTTTTTTTCAACCAACGCGACCCAGGCCACTTGGATATGTGCTCCTAAAACCCATACATATCTGATCTTTTGACATGCGACTTCAGTCTGAACGGCCTGGTCACATTCATGCCACCTATGCTCCGGGCTCACAGTCTAGTCGATAAAGGTTTCCCTTTATCGACTAGACTTTGAGGTTCGCAAGTTCATTAATGTTTGGGAGGATTGCTGTATTCAGGCCAAATTGGAGGGGTCTTATCGGAACAGGCAGTAAATAATAAATAAAGATCCTGCAAGCCAAATACAAGGAGGCTAAAGACTCAAACAAACGAAGTGACCGTGGACTTGTAACCTGTCCATTTTACGAAGAACTGGACCATATTTTGAGTCAAGCCCAGAGTTTAGGCATCTTCCGTAAACACTGAGCATGCTCGCTGCTTGTGACATCGTTGTGTCCTCCAATGCGCATGTGGGACACTTTTTGGGCATTTAAAGTTCCCACTGGAGATCACATACAAGTCACATTTAATTGGAAATGTGAATAACGTTGCAAAAAATCTGATTTCACAAAAAAATCTGAATTGAGCATTAATCCCTGCAGTCTGAACGGAGCCTTAGAGTCAGTTTTGTGTAATATTGGACCTTTAAGCCATAACATTAATATCGTAGGTTTGAGGGGAGTTTTTAAAAAGTGAATCTTCCATAGAGTCACATACCCCCTGTATTCCATCTGAAACATGACACCATCAAATTCAAGATCATGAATGCATCCTATTAACAAAAAACATACAAAACTGTCCATGACCATTACAAATTCACAGCTAGTTTAGTTAGCGTAACCAAAATCATCTGTGCTTTTTCTCTAATATCCATAATAGAATGTCCTTGGCTGTAAAATCTGATAAAACACATGATTATTTTCGGCCCAGAGCGTTTGAGTCTGAAAATGAGGTGTTTTGATTCACATTACATTGTCGTGATTGAGTTTGCTCGCGTGGGACTAGCCTCTGAGCTCCGCGTGCTAATACCTTTTATCTTTTCGTTAGATTAAACTCCCTCTGGCTCCGGCTGTAAACAGGTCTGGACTCTTAAGTTCGTTTTTGGAGATAAAATGGTGCCATTGTTCCACACTTCGATTCCCAATGGATCACAGTGTTTATTGAATGCTTTAACTTTGGTAGAGATGGAGAGGCGGAGGAGGCTGGTGGTTCTGCTGCTGCGGTGGAGATGGGAAGATAAGAGTTGAAGGAGAAGGTATATGGAGTTTAAAAACACAGTGGAGCACTTCATGTGGCCAAATCTCCTTGTCAAAGCCTCGTCAGATCTCAGAAGCTACGCAGGGCTGAGCTTAGTTAGTACTTGGATGGGAGACCGCTGAGAATTGCAGGCGCCAGTGTCAGAAACTGTTCTTGTGTCCTTAGGCAAGACATTTCACCCACATTGCCAAGTATGAAAGTGTGTGAGTGTTGGTGGTGGTCAAAGGTTTGCTTCGGTCTCAGGGCAGCTGTGGATACAGCAGTGGTTTACCTCCACCGAGTGTGGAGTGAATGAATAATGCACCGAATATCAAAGCAACTCTGAGTGTCTGGAAAAGTGCCGTATAAGACTAATGCACTACTATTACCACATGACATCACAAGGTGGAACAAAGTGTTTTCAGTTTGAGAGAAGAACAGCCTAAATATGCAGGGTTTGTGTGTTAAACATGTGTGAATTAAACAAAGCACAACTCCAGGTTTGTTTGCGATGAGGATACAACATAACATAGATCAGAAAATGGCATAGTAATAGTGAGTAATATCTCATTTTCAGTACTTTTGAAAATGTGTCTGTCCAAAATGCATGTCCCTGTTTGCCTCCTGCTCAGTCTCCTGTGCCCATGTGCCCGTGTGTTCATGTGCCCGTGTGTTTGTGCCCACAGGATCTGTCACTGTGAGGGTGATGATGAGAGCCCTCTGATCACACCGTGCCACTGTACGGGCAGCCTGCGCTTCGTGCACCAGGGCTGTCTGCAGCAGTGGATCAAGAGCTCAGACACACGCTGCTGTGAACTCTGCAAGTACGAGTTCATCATGGAGACAAAGCTCAAGCCGCTACGCAAGGTACTGGACTGACGTTACTGTAGTGACATTACTATAGTGATGCTATTGGACTGACACTACTGTAGTGACGCTACTGGACTGACGTTGCTGGACTGAGGCAACTGTTGGGTATGACTGATATCTCAGTTCCAGTAATATGTATCAATATTGACAGATACTGGAATACTATCAATACTAGATACCAATATTCAATACAGATTTCTGTGTGTGTGGGTGTGTGTGTGAGTGTGTGGGTGTGTGGGTGTGTTTTGTTCTTCACCACTCTCTTAATTTGTGATCCTTACTTACTTAAGATATATATCAGATTTCAAATATCAGTTGTCAGACATAGCAGAAGGTCAAATATTGAACATTGTATTGGCTCAGAGAATCCATACTGGCCCATCTCCAGTTACTGGACTGACGTTACTGTTAGGGATGGGTGATTTATCTCTATCATTCATCATTCATTTGTAAAACCTCGAAGTGAGAATGACTTCAGTTCAGAACATGAACAGATTCCAGTAATTTCTCAGTAAACTGATTCTGTTCTGGTTGATTTCCAAATATATTTTATGCCAATCACAATAATCTGCTGGTGACGGAGAAAGTTTTTCATGTTTCATGTGCAATCTGTCCACTGCTTTGGTAGAAAGGTTTCTTTTTATAATAAAAATCACAAAATGAAAACGCTTTATAAAAGACTTATAAGATGTAGACTTACACAGAATAAAACTTTCTTATTCGTCTGTTTACATCTTCAAAGCTCAGAATGCTCTGTTCCATTTTGTTACCTTTAGTTCAGTAGAGATTTACAATTCCAGGGCTGAAATGATCTAAATGATTCTATTGAAGGTGTATGGAGTTTTAAAACACAATGGAGGATGTCCTGTATTACGACCTGACATCACAAGGTGGAACAGACTGTTTTCTGTTTCAGAGAAGAACTCAGCCTAAATATGCAGAGTTTGTGCGTTAAACGTGTGTGAGTGAAACAAAACACAAATCCAGGTTTGTTTGTGATGAGGAAACAACATTAGAACATAGATAAGAAAATTGTGTAATACAGGCCATTTAAAGCCACAAACTTACTACATTTAACTCTTAAATGTAGATAAGACAAATTGGTAGCGGACTCTCCACCAGAAAAGTTTTGCAGTGCACCTTTAAATCTCTTGGCCTTCATACTTGTATCAGTCTCTTGTATCATCAGAGACTGCGGCTGGATCCACACTGGCGCTTGTTCTTCTCCCTCACTGCTGCAGAAGCCTACCCTTCCATTAAAGACTCTTATCCATCACCACGGCGACAGATAACGGGACAGTCTAATTAAAATCCACGCACCCTTCGTTAGCCGCACACGAGCTTTTAAACAAATGCTTTTCCCGGCAATGGGGAGAGGATTTCGCAGGAAGCCGTTCAGCTCTGGCTCTGCTCAGACCGTTGAATGTGAGATGGAGATGTTTGGTTTTCTTTCGCGAGAGGTGATCCAGCAAATCTCTGGGTTTCTTTGGCAGACCGGGAGAGGGTTTGGTGCGACGCCGGTGGTGAATTTTAAAGTGTGAAAGTACTAAGATGTTTTGATTAGAATTTGATTAGTGAAGCTAAATTATTCATGACTAGTCCCCGAGGAGTAGTGAATATTTGTAATTACTCTGAAATGAGATGCTGAGTTTTAAAAAAAGGTTAAGGTGTGGTTCATTTTAGTTAGGCCCACTATTTTCTACACGCTATTTTCTGATTTATGTTATAATGTTGTTTCCTCATCACAAACATACCTGGAGTTGGAGGCAACAACATTCTAACATGTCTTAAACCTCACAAAAGTCAATTCTGTGTAATATGACCTTTAACAGTGCTCATTGTATAAAGTTGAGTTCAATTAGATTGTACTGCAGCCTCTCTTCAGGACCACTTTATACCACTGTAATTCAAAACACATTAAGTCAGTCACGGTGGCAAAAGAGTCCTCATTAAAATTTGACGTGACAGTGTAACCCAAGCCTCCTGATGAGAAGTGCTTGTGTTTTGTTTCCCCACTTAGCCATGTTAGAAATAGACTTCGCTTCAGCACTGATAGCACAGTATAATTTATTACGACTTAACATGTTTAAGGATAGTAGAGTTTGGACTACTTTAGATGTATTTAAGTTGTATTGATTTGTTTAAACATTCTGGCTGCTTTTAGGATATGCAGTTTATATCAGACATAGTTATCTGACAGTTCTTCAAGGTTATTGTGAGCTTTAAGCCAGTTTTTAATGTTGTTACGTCATGAAAAAACATACCTGGAGTTGTGTTTTGTTTCATTCATGCATGTTTGAGTCTGTCTACATTTCCAAAGCTCAAAATGCTCTGTTCCACCTTGTGATGTCATGAAGCAGTAGTTTCCAAGTTAACAGCTAATGGAAATTGGCAATTCTAGGGCAAAATTATATTATTAGGTTCTGTTTTCAGACCAAGAGTTTGTTTTCATATCTGACAGTTTGGACTGTTCACTAGCGCTCTTCCTCAGAGTGGTCACGTGATGTTGCTGTGACGTGTCCGGTCAGCTGATTTATACAGGTTTTGGCGTTGTCTTTCTACCTAACCTTCCTAACATAAAATATCAGAAGACCAAATGAACATCATTGGACTACAGGGCTGAAATTATCCAAATGATTCTAGTGAAGTTGCATGCTGTTTAAAACACAGTGGAGCACTTCCTGTATTAAAACATGATATCACAAGTTGGAGCAGAGTGTTTGCAGTGTAAAAGAAGAACTAAATATGCAGTGTTTGTGTGTTAAACATGTGTGAATGAAACAAAACATAACTCCAAGTATGTCTGGGATGAGGAAACAGCATTATAACATAGATCTAAAACAGCATAATATAGATCCTTTAAATGATACTTCTTTTATTTATCAATTTATTTGCATTTATTTATTTTGTACTTATATAACATATAAAAATAAAAAATAGATGCAAGAAGAGACAAAAAAACAAAACAAAAGGGCTTGTATTAAAGCATTCACCTTATAAATGCATTAAAATGGAACATTACAGCTGTGCACTACTTAAAAAAAATTACATTTACACACCTTAGATTAAATAAATTAGATTCAAACAAGGATTCAAATACAAAGAAACATCCCACAATTGAACGACTATCAAACATTACCACAAACTCTTAAATGTTTCCGATTTAAAAATGTGTTTACTGACCTTGTTATTGCTTTTGCATCAGTTGCATATAGTAGTTTCAGTATTATCCTTTTATATTTCTCTGTGCAAATATACGGTGCTACTGTTGTGTGTGCAGTGGGAGAAGCTTCAGATGACGGCGAGTGAGAGGAGGAAGATTATGTGCTCGGTCACTTTCCACGTCATCGCCATCACCTGCGTCGTGTGGTCTCTGTACGTGCTCATAGACCGGACCGCCGAGGAGATTAAACAAGGTACGGACGCACACGCACACACGCCAACGCACAACCATCACACTGTCATATGCACACGCCAACGCACAACCATCGCACTGTCATATGCACACGCCAACGCACAACCATCGCACTGTCATACGTACACGCCAGCGCACAACCATTGCAATGTATCATACGCACACACCAAAGCACAACCATAACACTGAATTACACAGGCCAACTCACCTCAGAAACTGTAAAACCATATCACTGTACCATCGTAACACTGTACTGTACACACACACCAAAGCACAATCGTAACACTGTACAACCACAACACTGTACTATTGTAACACTGTACAACCGTAACATTATAACTACAGCACTGCTCCGTCGTAACACTGTACAACCGTAACCCTGTACCATGATACTGTATGATACGCACACACCAATGCCAGCAACGCAAAACTGTACAACCATAACACTGTACAATCGTAGCACTAAACAACCACAACCCTGAACAACCGCAACCTTGTACAACCATAACACTGTACAACCATAACACTACAACCACAACAGTGTACAATCGTAAACTATAACACCATACATACCACTGTGTCATACACACACACCAACGCACCCCAGAAATACTGTACAATCATAACACTGTACAACAATAACACTGTACAATCGTAACACTGAACAACTGCAACACTGTACAACCACATTACTGTACTATCGTAACATGATACTGTATCATATGCACACACTAGTGCCAACAATGCAACACTGTACAATCAGAACACTACAACCGCAACACTGTACAACCGTAACACTGTACAACCATAACACTGTACAACCGTAACACTGTACAACCATAACACTACAACCACAATGCTGTACAATTATAATGCTGTACAATCGTAAGACTGCACAATCATAACACTGTACTACTATAACACCATACATAACACTGTATCATATGCACACACCAACGTACCCCAGAAACACTGTACAATCATAACACTCTACAACCATAATACTGAACAACCGTAACTCTGTACAATCATAACAGTGTACAACCATAACATCATACAGCCGTAACACTGAACAATCATAACACTACAACCACAACACTGTACACACACTGTACACGTAACACTGTACACGTACACAACCACTGTAACACTGTACAGCCGTAACACTGTACAGCTGTAACACTGTACAGCTGTAACACTGTACAATCGTAACACTCTACAATAATAATACTGAACAACCGTAACACTGTTCAACCATAACACTGCACAGTCATAACACTGTACAATCGTAACACTCTACAATCATAATACTGAACAACCATAACATCGTACAACCATAACACTGAACAATCGTAACACTGTACAACCATAACACTACACAATCATAAAACTGTACCATGATACTGTTACATACGCACACAGCATTGCCAACAACGCAACACTGTACAACCGTAACACTACACAATCATAACACTGTATCATACGCCCACACCAACACACAACCAAAACACTGTACAATCGTAACATTATACAGTCGTAACACTGTACACCTATAACACCATACATTACACAGTATCATACGCACACACCAACGCACCCCAGAAACACTGTACAACCATAACACTGTACAATCGTAACACTGTGCAACCATAACACTGTAAAATCATAACAATGTACAACTGTACCACTGTACAACCGTAACACTACAACCACAACAGTGTACAGGTGTAACACCGTACAATCGTGACACTGTACAGCCGTAACACTACAACCATACCGCTGTACAATTGTAACATTGTACAATTATAGCACTTTACATAACACTGTCCCATGGCATTGGCAGAGGAGGTGTGGACTAGGTAACTGTGATAAAAGCTATTACAATTTATGAATGATAAGTTATATTATCCAAATGATTAATCACATAATGGCTCGATAAGTTTAAAGGTCCTGTATTACGCAAAGTTAACTCTTGTGATCTTTAAGCCATGTTATAATGCTGTTACATCATCAAAAATCATAGCTGGAGTTGTTTTGTTTCATTCACACGTTTGAGTAATCCTTTTATTATTAGTCTGTCTACATCTAACAGCTACCTTTTACCTTTTGTTGAGTCGAGATTGCCGATTCCAGGTCTGAAGTGATCCAAATGATTCTAGGGAAGGTGTTTGGAGTTTAAAACACAGAAGAGCATTTCTTGTTTGATAGAGGAACTCGGTGTAAATATACAGATTTGTGTGTTAAAGATGTGTGAATGAAACAAAACACAACGCTAGGTGTGTTTTATGTTTCGTAATATAAGTCCTTAAATGACTTATAAATTCCACAGATTCAATGGACACGTAAACATGATAGGTATTAATAGAATGCATTGTCGCTTAGGTCTGGTTTATCAGAACAGTTTATCAGTTGCTTTAAGAACAGTCTGTACCCAACTTAATCATAATTATAGTCACGTCTATTTTTTCAGCAATTACATAACACGCTGACAGCTTTATATACATTTTAATAGCGTGAATCCCAGTTTTTTAGATTGTAGAATGTAAATTTTATAGATCCAGACCAGGTCAAAAAGTCAAAATTTGTCTTTATGCGATTGTTTTTTGTAGCGGTATTTGTTCAAATCATAGACCTGTATAAAGAAGTGGACTAAGGGAGCGTGACGTCAACCATAGCGTTTGGCTTCAGTCAAATGAAGCTCACCGAGGATTGCGGTTACAGGAGCGAATTCGGAGTTTCATATTAGGAATAGGAATTGATTTACGAACAAAATAGAAAAACAAATAGCGGACGAACATACAAATGAACATTTTAAGACCAAAATAGCGTTTGAGTCTTTTTTGCCAATGCTAAATACATTGTTCATTAACAGAAATATGGGATATGTTGTTTTAATTGCCAGTCGCTATGGCAACAGTCCTAATTATACATAAATCTGGACCTTGGATACTCAAACCTGAGCTATCCACCTAGTCCATTCCTTATCACAGTCAATGCATAATAATGAACACACTTCCTTTTTCATTCCACAATAAGTACACTTGCACTACTACTACTACTACCGCACCCTCTGGTGGCTGTCAGCATCAAATATAATTCACAGTAAAAATCACACAGTAAAATCCAATAAAAGCCCTAAAATGTTTCACAAAGTGCATGGTCTGGGTTCTAAACATGACTGACAGCGCTGGGGTTGGCTACACTCACTAAATTCTGATGCCAAAATAGCTCTTAGGTCTTTGCCAGGTTTGTATTCCTTCCCATTCATTGGACTGGTCCAAAATTAGGAATAGGAACTGAATTACGGATAAAATAGATACAACCACCAGGATCATGCAAACATTTTAGTTTCATTTTATAGGGGCACTATGTAGTTTTGGTAGTGGGTCCATCACCAGCTTCTCTCCATGGAGATGTTCCACACTATGTCATTACACTTATTCATCTGTACAGAGACAGCATATGACACCACAAGGCTAAGTTACATGTCAGCTCTTTGGAGAGGCAAGCCTAGTTATAATAATAATGCAAGTTTTTACATCAATAAAAACCCATCTTATTGAGTAAATGCAAGGTGGATACGTTTTATGTCAGGCTGGGACATTCCAGACAAAGCAACAACATTTCCATGGAGACAAGTAGATGGTGGTTACACAGTGCACCGTTAGGCCCTGTCCATACTAGTACATGTTCGAGTCGTTTTCGTTGTGGATGCAGTGTTCATCCACACTAACTAATCCGATTGAAAACGGCTCCAGAGATGGAACGATCTGGTGCTGCCAGCTCCCACAAATTCATCTGAGTAGGGATCTGATCTGGCAATGTGTGGACACCTGAAAATGCTGATACGCTGACGTAGGTCTATGCGCCACGAAGTAATTCACTGCCAAAACTCTAAGAGGCTAGAACACATGTCCATTCATATATATATGGTCTATGCTATGACCTGCGGATGTATATTTTAGCATGAACAATCTACAACGCGATAGAAGCACAGAACAGACTCACCATCAGCAGAACACCCCTCTGTCACAGAAAGAACACTCATAATCCACTGAGTCGTGTCCTTTAGTCCAACAGAAGCTGAACCGCATCAGCGCACAATAGTGGGCCGTTTTTTGAGCCCTCAGTTTATGCAAATTAGCCATGCGGTTTTAAGTTTCATTTCTGTAAAACGTAAACAAATATGCTCAAAGCTGTGTGGATAGGGAAGGCTTGCGGACACGGAAACGACGTGTCTGGACGCAGATTGTTTCCAATACAGTGATAAATTGATAGAGTGATTCGTTTCAGTGTAAATGTAGCCTTAATGTGCCTTTTTTTTTTTGATTTTTTTGCCAGCCCTACATACAATGGCAAGAATGTAGGATCTGCTGCTTTAAAATGTCAATCGCTATGGCAACAGTTCTAATTTGTCATCAGTCTGACACCCAGTTCAATATAAAAACCAAACTAAACATTTTTCACAAAGGTTCTAAACGTGGCCATCGCTATATTCTGGGCCGAAAGTAGCTCTTAGGTCTTTGTTCGGTTCAAAAAACGTCTCACAGCTCTTTTGTATTCCTTCCTATTCATTCTTAGCACGGGGAGTTAGTGTAATAGCCCTAATAATGCAACCGCTGCGTGCAGTACATTCTGGGAACATTAGTGGGTGTAAATGAGTTGCTTGGTTTTTATTGCAGCTACAGTTGGAAACGCGGAGGAGGAGGAGGTCATGAGTTCGATTTTCCATTGACTCTTTAGCTCTTAATTCAGCCGCCTTTGATTTGCCGGCAACGGGAGTAAAAGGAATCAGGAATCACACCAAAGAGGAGAAGAAAGGGCTATTTATAAAACATGTGTAATTATCCACCCTTTGGTCCAGGCGTGCAGGTGCAGTCGAGTGTCAAGACTTTACAGAAGCGAGTGCAAAGAGATCAAAAATATACTTGGAAAGACTTGGTGTGAGATGTTAAGTGCATAGGTTTTATAAAGTTTTAAACTGAGAGGATCTATATTACG